AAATTAGGAGTTAAAGAGATAGCCGACCAAATTAAATATTCAGGAACAGGAGGAGAAAATTACACAGCCCAAACCATAGTTGAACCAGGAGAAGGGATTACAGTTAATATTCCCTACACAGCCGATCAACGAGGCTACGGACACTCCACTTTTATCCGTTTAACCAATTCCTCGGTGATGGATGATTTTAAAAATGCTGTGGTAGTTAGTAGTGGTTGTAATTCTGGTGGTCTCCATTATAATTCCAATAAGGGTTTTTGTTGGGGTTGCACTTATGATGAATTAAAAAAACATAATTTCGTCCAAACCAAATTTACTCCCTCGGCTAGTTGCTCCGTGTTATTAAAATTGGATGTTAGTTCTAGTGAAATCAAAGATTTAGACTTAAAAGCAGGAGTAGAATATACTGTGACTATCACTGAAACTCAATTTATTTTTAAGGCCCAAGACACAACCAAAATTGTTATCCAAAAACAACCAGGACACGATAATTTTGATAATTTGGACTGAACTCCACCCCCAGGAGCAGGAGGAGACACTGAAATCCCCTTATCTGACCCCACTATGCCTGAACCTGAACCAGGAGCCGATACCATGGAACCCGAACCTGATATGCCTACTCCTGATATGGACCCCACAGGAGGAGAACCTGAAATAATTATTGAACCTGATATTACTCCCGACCAAGAACCAGATATTCCTGTGGAACCTGATGTTCCTGAACCTGAAATACCCGAGCCTGAACCTGTGCCTGATACTGATCCGACAACTGACCCCGATGCTACTCCTGATACTGGGGATAGAGACCCAGGAGATAATGAACCAGAAAATCCCGAGGATTTTGATTAAAAAAATAACTTATGAAAGAAACTTATACTTGTATCCAATGTAATAAAGAAATTCCCCTACAAGAAGAAAGAGGAGGGAAGTGTAAAGAATGTAGGAGAAATTAACCCCACGACCTTTCTAATTCTTTTCTTTCTTTAACTGATTTCGACCAAGCACGATGTCTTTGAGACTTTTCGGGAGTAAAGATTTCTTTGCCAACTTTTTCTTTCAATTGTTCAAAAAAGGGCAATTCTGTTTCTTTTCTTTCACAATGGGCTAATAAATCAACAATATTCCGATTATAACCATTTTTAACCCATAAATGCTTATTTTCAAAAACAGTTTTTTTATTTTCCTTTAAATCAATTCATAAATAAGGACTATGGAAGCAAATGATACTCAAGATATTTTGATTGTAATTAAAATAACTTTTAAATCTTTTGACATGAGTTTCATTCTGATAAAAAGGAGAATACATTCTATGCCGTTCATATCTCCTTTGTTTTCCAACTTTATAAGACCATTCTAAATATTCATGATTAAGATTGCCACTCAATCGGCCTCGACCCCAATCTTTAACTTCGATAATATAAACTCATTTTCTAGTAAGTAAAAGGATATCAATTTCACAACTTCAATAATTTTCCTTTTGTAAGATTAAGTTATTAACTAGTAAATAATCATTTTTGGTTCAGCCTTTTTGCCTGATAAAATTCTTGACTATTTTTAAAGTTTCCTCTTCTCCTGCTTGCCCTGGTTTTTTGGCAAAAAGTCTTCCAAGGACAGCAAGGACAACAAAAAAGATAAAAAGGAGTAAATAAACAAGAATATTATTTGGCATTATTTTTCTCCTTTTTTGTTTTTCAGTAAGAAATAACCAACAACTCCCACTATTACCACCACTACGGCTAACCCAATATAAAGCCCTTTATTACTTTTATTATCAGGAGAACCAGTATTCAAACTACTTTCTAAATCTGATAAAGATAATTCACTTTTGCCTATTTTTTGAGAATAAGATTTTATTTTTTCTAATTCAGCATCATTTATATCCTTGGTTTCTGTTTGCTGATTATTGTTGTATTCAATTATTAATTTGTCATTCTCTAATTTAGCAGATTTAATATTGTGAGACTTGAAATAGTTCAAAATCGTCTCTCTCTCTCTCTCTCTCTCTCTCTCTCTTGGTTGTCGTTATTGCTACAAACATGGCTAATCGGATTTATATCACCCCAATTATTAGACACTTTTCATTGCTTACCACATTTAGAACAAACTCCTAAATTATATCCTCCCGTTTCAGAGTATTTGGGTAAATCGGGCATCTCGTCGTCATTTCTGCTAATTTGATTAGGACAAAAACGGCTTTCAAATTTCCGATAACTTTCTTTTCTCTTGTTTTCTCACTCTTCACATTCGGCTAATTTTTCCTCTAATCATGCTTTACACTCCTGGCAAGGATTATTTTTGCTACATTTGATTTCTTGGCTCATAATACTATATATAACATTTTTTACTTTATATCCACCCACCATATCTCAACTTGATATAAAATTATTATATAGACAGATGAGACCTGAAATCCTGGCCGATAAGGCTGGGATTGTAGGGAAAGAAAAAAATGTCTGTTAATTAATTTTAAAGAACAAATCGAAAATTTTTTCTTATTGGGCTCTGAAAATATTACTGATGGCAAACCTTTTTTTCAATTGGGAGCCATTAAGGAGGATAGTGAGAGGGGATTGGTGGTTGCTACTCAAAATAGAAAAGGCTTTGGTCTGAATAATCCTTATTTAGGAGTAGTAAATTTTCATCAGAAATATTTTCGATTTTATCGGGTAAAGGGTTATAGTCATATAAATCCCAGAAATTTATATGTAGAATTATTTTTGAGGGAGGATTGAGTGTGGAAGGATTATCCGTCTATTATTCATAGTTTAGGAGGTTTGAGTAGTAATAATCATCCGGTTTATCACCAAAGGAATTTGGGGTAAAATAAATATTATGACTGAATTAATTATTATTAGAACTCGCGAGAGTGAAAAAATAAAGAAGTTTTTGGAGCAAGAACGGGTTGATTATGAAGTTTACCAAGAACAAGAAAAGGGAGGAGTTTACTCCGAGTTTTCTCAAAAACCCCAAAAAATCAGTGAAGCAGAACTAGGGAGAGCCTACCAGGAAGCATGGAGCAATCCCCAACGATATCAGGAGGCTCGAAAATGAGAAAAGGCTGCTGTTAGTGATTGGGCTGAAAGAATTAAAAAAGAGAAAAAATAATGGCTCAACAATTAATCAGGAGAGGAGAAGTTTATTGGATTAATTTATCTTTGCCTAGTTCCGAAGAAAAAGAAAAAGGCATTATCCATGAATTACAAGGTCCTCATCCCGGAGTAATTATCTCTAATAATCAGCAAAATCTTTATAGTCCCTTAATCACCATTATTCCTTTAACTTCTCAATTGGATAAGATTTACCCGTTTGAGGTGCTGACTGAAATAAATAACCAAAAAGGCAAGGCCTTGACCGACCAAATTACCACTATTGATAAAAAAAGATTGGGAGACTACTTGGGGCAATTGGATAAATCAGTTATGAGAAAAATCCAAGCATCCTTACATTTGACTTTGGCTTTGGAGGAATAGAAAATAAACCAAAAATGCCTCTAATTGGTGAATGCTAATTTTTTGGTTCTTATATTTTCACCCATGACCTCGTCCTTGGCTATAACTAATTTCTTTTTTAACCCAATTTTTCTCTTTTAAAAAAATCAACCACTCTTTCTAACATTTACACCAACATCCAACCCAGTTTAATCGAAAAAAATTTAAAAATTAATAATATATGAATATTGAAATAACAAAAAATTCTGAAAAGCACTTAATCATTATCGACTTAGACGGCACTGTTCTAAACAGCGATTTTGCCACCCTCAACCAGAAAAATAAAAAAATTCTCCAAAAACTACAAGAGGCGGGGAATAAAATAGTTATTGCCACTGGTCGGAATTATTTGTCGGCTTTGCCTTTTTATAGAGAAATTGGTTTAGATACTTTTTTAATTACCTATAATGGAGCCTATATTGACCACCCCTTAAAAAAACATAGCCCTATCATGGCCATTCTCCCTCTAGCTAACGAGACAGTTAAGAGAATATTAAATGAAAAGATTATTAAAGAAAATTTACTTAATGTTTTAATCGATTCGGCTGACAAAGAAACCATTTCAACAGGTGAGGATATTTACTACCAAGAAATTTTTTTTAACGGCAATACTTATCATGCAACTAATGATGCTTTACAACATTTAGGAGACCGAGATTGCTTACAATTAGTCCTTGAATTTAAAAATGACAAAGAGAAAATTGACTCCATTCGTTCGTTTTTAGGAGAAAATTATAAAGCCAGCGTGGACTATTATTCAGGAAAAAAATTAAAAGCAGAAAAAGAAGGAGATAAAATTTTGGTGCCGGACCCCGAAAAAGTAATTTTTAAAATCCGCAGTTCAAAGGCTGATAAAGCCGAGGCTGTGGCCAAACTGGCCGCTTATTATAATATTGACGAATCACGGATTATTGCTTTTGGCAATGATGTTAATGATATAAAAATGATTGAAAATGTGGGGTGGGGCGTGGCTATGTCAAACGGAAATGACGATTTAAAGCCTTACGCTCGCAGCATCACTAGACTTGATAATCACCACGGGGGAGTAGCCGAATATTT